ACTATTAATAAAACTTGAAACTATTTTGTTAATAGAAGTTCGTGTAAAAAGTCTCCTCTTAAAAAATAACTCAAATTAAGGAGCGATTCAACCTCCAGTTGATTTTTTTTTTTAATATATCGTAGATAAGCAAATGTACACTGTATGACAGGCATGTCCAAAGTCTGGCCCGCAGACCAATTTTAATTGGCCCTCGCCTTGACTTTCAAAATATACCATATGTGGCCCTTTACACAATAATGGTTAATCGAGCAAGATCTCTTCGCATTTTTACCTTTCACCTCACAATGACAGGACTATCATACAGTTTGGAGACAGGCATTAAGTCGTAATAAATCATTAAAAGATAGGTCTCACTTTTTTTTTAAACCCATTTGATGCGAGAATCAGTTGGCCCCCAGGTATTTTCACATTATTTCATCTGGCCCCCATTTAAAAAAGTCTGGTGTACCCCTGCTGTATGACAACCGTCAACCTTTCATGGTATAGAGGAAATCGCCTTGTTGGTTACAAATACTTAGAATACGTAGAAAACCAGCACAGTTTAGCTACATATATATATATATGTAGCTAAACTGTGCTGGTTTTCTATATATATATATATATATATATATATATATATATATATATATATATATATATATATATATAGCTAAACTGTAAACAACAAGGTGATTCCCTCTATACGTTGAAACTGGAATATCACTGCAACCCTAATAGGTTCATTTGTACCACCGTTGCCAGATGAAGGCTACGATAATTATTGGTATTGTACGATAATTCTGTAAAATGTAGCGACAATCAGTATGATATCCTATGAATTAGCACACTACAAATAACATAACACCCTTTACATAAAGTTACATAAATAACATTACGGGGTTAAAGTTTAGGCAATTAAAATTACTGTGGTCAGGTTTAGGTAAAGAAACATGGTTGGGCGTGTTTCGGTTTAGGCAGTGATGTAGTGGTAGTTGATGAGGTGAGTGTAGGATACTGAGGAGGAGCTGGGTATTCTCTTATATATTCCAATGGCTTTTTGACTGATAGGTGCGTATACTGTTGACAACCAGAAAAACAGCCTCTACACCTGCGTATAATCTCCACTGCACCACTTGGTTTAGGCAGGTAAAGTTACTGTGGTCAGGTTTGAGGTGGCGAAACATGATGAGGACGAACCTTCCACCACCCCAACCTTTCTCCTTATAAACGTCCAGGACTGGTTCCTCCTTGTTTACTGCTATCAGCACATTGGTCACTTGATCACAGCCTTTCAAAACACGTGCGATATGTACTTTACATAGGAAACATTTGTGAGAACAGCCTGTAATGATGCTGCCCGCCAGTCTTTCAACAAAGACAAAAGACAATAAAATGAAAGGTAGAACATTTACAACAATTTCCCACCTCTGACTGGATAAAGCTTTAAAAGTCTGTGCTGCCCTGGACTGAAAGGAAGGATCCTCTTGTCTGTTTTTCTTTAATAATCCAGTTAGTTGGTGGTTGATTTGGGTCGGCTATTAAAAGCAAAGTAACTGAAACTGCCACCCCTGAAACTAAAACAAAGAGTAGTAACAGCAGTGACAGAAACCATAAGTACTAACATGTTTTATTAAGAACACAAGTCCCACAGAGTCAGACTATAAAACGCTCCGAGCCAGACCACCCTCGTGTTGCACATCAGCCGGGAGAAAAGCCAGTAATGAAACCATGTCAACCTCTCTACTGAAGGAAGTTAATCATCTCTAATCTCAAGATACCAAACCGTTATCTGGAGTTCACATCTTAATTACTGTGTTATCCTGAGATAACAAATAACTGCTGTCTGACTTCATTATACCATCGCACACATTCAAACTCTTATCAAGATTTAGACTTCAGACAGTTTGAGTCACTCGTTATCTGCAGATGGAGAATGGTGCTCGTTGGTAGTATTTTTAACCAGTCGTCCTGATCACATTATAATTTAATTAAGATGTTTTATGGAGATATCAATCATTGTTTTTATGTGTTGAAGATCTGAACGTGTCGTTTTATCAAGATGTGTTTCCATGACCTCGATCATTACGACCTCTGAGTGAAGATGATTTAACCTTAAAACTGAGCTAACAATAATTAAAAGAGATTATTTCATTTAACTACAGTGGAGAGAATTTGGTTTCCGTTCCCAAAACTGGAGACCACAAGTCAACACAAGTTTTTTGCATTTCAGTGAATCACAGAAAAAGGTTCAGAGTTATCAGGACTCAGTCTGGAGACATTCATTTTTTACTTACAGATTTAGTTCACGACTTTTAATGTTTTTACAGTGTGAAATAATCCCTGGCTGCAGCACTGCTATATACTGAAGCCCTGAGAAGCAAGTGAGAAAAATAAATTCAGGAAATTCATTTTCTAAGTCTGATCTAGATCGTTTTCCCTCCTGTGCTCATGACTTAAATGAACTGTATGTAACTTCCATACGTAACTGCGCTAGCTCGCTAAAAATGGTTCATTTGTGGTCTGATGAACAGAAAATTAATCAAATTCAGTGTCCCATACTCCCAGGCCTCCCTTTGCCAAAACAAAGTCCTCATGTTACAGGAAGTGCTGATGTGAAATATTGCGATATTGTTGCTTTAGCTGGCTGATGGAAGCTGATGTTACTGTACGTTCAGACCAGAAGCTTCCAAAGAGGCAAAGTCTCTCGCTGACGCCCACTGTCAAAAACATTTGTGTCAGCTTTGGTCGCTCTAGTCGCTCATCACGTGAATCACTGAACTTCGATCGTGCTTGTCAATTTAAAGGAGCCACAAAGCGACTACTGGCTTGAAAGCAGCGTAGTTGCTGCTTGCTGTTGTCCAGTCAAAAGTTATGTTTGGTCAATGAAAACAGAAAACGTATGTCATCCCATTCATACCAAGCAAGGAAGACTTGCATGCTACGTCACGCACTTTAAAACTCACCAGACCAACCAACTACCTCCATAAAGTTAAACGAGTTTTAACTCCCCTCCGGACCCGCTCCGGTCGCTTTGGTCGCCCAGGACATGCAGCTGATGACCAGGTCGCCCAAGTTGCCGAGCTCTCATTGAAAATGAATGACTTCCGCTGTTTTGGAAGCTGTGGTCGCTGTTGGTGTGAACGTACAGTTAGATCGCTGGCTAAGGCAGACAATTTATTGGCTAGCTATCATGGGTAATGTTACATATATTTTAAGAACAGGTAAAAAAAAAAAAAAAAAAGTTTTGCCACGATAATCTGTAAGAAAACTAAAAAAAAAATTTTTTTTTTTTTTTAAATTTAAAAAAATGGTGTGGAAAAAAAATTTTGACAGAAGATTTTTCAGGGTTTTTCTTTTTTTTTTTTTTTACAATTATTAAAAAAAAGTACAAAAAAGTTTTGCCAAAATACCATTCGTGCATTTCGGGTTTTTTGTTTTTTGGGGGTTTTTTGTTTGCCAAAATAACTCTAAGTTCCTAACTGTAAAAAACAAAAGGTGGGAAAAAAGTTTTGACAGAACGGAACAATTTTCTTACGTTCTTTTTTTTTTTATCTTTTTAAATCTGTAAAACAGGTAAACAACAAAAAAAGATTTTGCCAGGATGAATTTTCCAAGATACTTTTTCAATCTGTGAAAACAAGTAAAAAAAAAAACAAAAACAAAATAAAGAGCTTTAGGGGCTGAAATTTTTTTTTTTTTTGGCCAGTGTCTGTTTTTGTAGTACTCATTTTGGCCACAAGAGGCTGAAGTGCACGACTACCTCTCGTTCTAAAACAGATTAAAAGGATTTAAGTTTTCTTGTAACAGCAGATCTGCAGATTAAACAGTCATGTTACATAACTTGCTAACAATATATGCACATTATATTTAGAGTGAAAGGAGAAATTAAAACTCACCCGGAAGAAAACGTGAATGATTTTAGACAACAAGCAAAAATGTTTTGAATGGAAAAAGATTTTTCTTTTCACCTGTTTCACAGATGAAAAAGAGAAAAACATTTAACTTAGAAAGATGATCCTGGCAAAACCTTTTCTTTCACCTGTTCTTGAGTCATAAACTCAGGAGAGAAGACCGTTTATATCAGATTTAGAAAATTAATCCCAGAATTTTTCTTTCTTCCCGCTCAGGTCCTCCACAGGCACAAAAATAAGTGAAATCAATACCAGAGAAAATACTCAGTCCAAAAAATATCAAGACTGCATAGGATTTGTCAAACCTATATTCAACCAGGATGCACACACTGACATGTTCTCCAAATATGGTCATGCTAAAGTGTTTTCCTAATTAAATTTCCATCGGCTGAGAAATACTAACCAGGATTAGCACACTTGTTACGTGTCATTTGAAGCCGTTATTTCCTGGACGTCTTTTATCTGATTATCTGACACATCAAGCTATCCAAACTTCATTATGTCAAATATCTGTAGATATTTAGTGTTTTAACGCCGGCAGACAAGTTCTTAATGATATGAAACACAGCTCAGAGGTGATCAGGGCCTTAAATGTGTCAGTGTGTTGAGCTAACGAGCTTCTCTATTTCCTGTTGTATCCACACAGGTTTCATCACGGTGTTTTCTGCTCTCTCAGCCTCGAGACAAACGGGAGACGCAGAAGAAGAGAGGGTAGAAATAAAAAAGGCGGCTGACACAGAATCAACAGCATTTGTATTTGGCACATAATGAGATCATTAAGTCAGAATCACAGGGTAAATGTTTTAAACTACACTTAAATTTCTTATCTTAAGAAAAGCAGATAATTAAGTCCGGATCACGAGATAAGAAAAATACCTCTGTGATGATTTTGCTTGCAGAGTTTTGTTATTTTTATCTCCATGACTTTTACCTTGTAGCAGTTTGACTTCATTAGACATGTTAATTATATTTTCTTTCTTTTGTCCTCTGTACTTAAACTAAAACATCCTGATCGTCTGATTCGTGTTAGAAAAAGGCAGAAATGTTCGGAGGGACTTAGACGCCACGGACATGTAATAAAACTTTGTTGTGTGTGTTGAGACTGACCGTCACGCCGCTGTCGGTCTGCGTCTCCTTGTAGGTGAAGTTACAGACGGCCCAGGCCAGGTAGTACGTGGACATGCGTGGCGTGCGGGCGAAGCGGTTGGTCTGCCAGCCGTCCTCGTCCGCCAGCGAGGTGCTCTCCACGGGCATATTGGAGAGCGAGGTGTACTGAGGGTCGTGGCGGAGGGTGAGGGTGAACGTGGCCTTGTAGACGGGCTCGTCGAAGCAGGGGAAGGCCTTCCTGGCGTGGATCGGACTGAACTGAGTCACCGCCAGGTACCTGCGAGAGAAACAACAGAGCCGTGTTACTGTCAGATAAAAAAGAGAAATGACTTTCAGAGAGGCTTAAAATGGTTCAAGGGATGACGATGAGATTATTTTCAGCACTGCAAACCATTTTGCAAAGTCACTCACTCTACGTGCAGAAAACAAACTCCAGCTGGATGAAAAACTGACACAGAATTGGGACACTTCTGGCTCTGGTTGGACCTTTACCTGATCTAAGGTCAGGTGTTGATCATAAATCAATGCTGACGTTACAACAGCTTCTGTAAATGCTGGAAAAACTGTTGTCTCGCTTGATGTTCCAGGATTTCCTGCATATTCATATATTTGTGGCAGCTCGCCACGATTTAAACATCTGCTGCCACAGATAGACTTTCTATTTTTGGCACTGGACTGTTCGTCAGGAGAACTGCTGGAATATATAAACCATTCAGACTTTCCACGTCCACATATGACGTCCAAGGTACCCTGGGTGTGTTGGTTGTTGACGTTCTGGGACGCCGTGTCAACTTCAGCCTGTTACATGCATTGTCTGTTTTCAAAATACACTTCTGTTTTCACAGGAAATGTACAGTTTGATACAGTCTCTTTCAAAATAAAAGCACTACGTCGGTACACCAACTGATGTTTTTTTCCTTCAACAACACACACACACACACGTGGTTACGTTTAGCCGACACACACACACATGGTTACGTTTAGCCGACACACACACACGTGGTTACGTTTAGCCAACACACACATGTGGTTACGTTTAGCCAACACACACACGTGGTTACGTTTAGCCAACACACACACGTGGTTACATTTAGCCAACACACACAGGTGGTTACATTTAGCCAACACAGAGGTGGTTACATTTAGTTGACACACACACGTGGTTATGTTTAGCCAACACACACACATGGTTACATTTAGCTGACACACACACACACACGTAGTTACATTTAGCCAACACACAGATGGTTACATTTAGCTGACACACACACATGGTTACGTTTAGCCAACACACACACATGGTTATGTTTAGCCGACACACACACCTGGTTACGTTTAGCCGACATACAGGTGGTTATGTTTAGCCGACACATACACATGGTTATGTTTAGCCGACACACACACATGGTTATGTTTAGCCAACACACACACATGGTTATGTTTAGCCGACACACACACATGGTTACGTTTAGCCAACACACACACATGATTATGTTTAGCCAACACACACACATGGTTATGTTTAGCCGACACACACACATGGTTACGTTT